CTCAGATGCCGTCGCGCGCCTGTGCTTGATAGCGTTGTCCAAGATCGTCCAGCGCCCCCCCGGCCTGGGCTAGAACCTGAGCGCGCGCGAAGCGCGCGCGATGTTCTAGTGCATGTATATAAAATCGTCCAGTCACTATGGCGCCAAATGTAGTTGTGCAACGCCTGTTCAACATTCTATGCGGTGCACCCCATGTTGTGCAGCATATGTTGTGCAGTCTATGTTGCGAGCGACCAGTCAGCGCGCCCTGGGCGCGATTTTTAGTGCAGGCTAAGTGGTGTAATTAATCTTGACCGTCTTGAAGCTGTCCTCTCCACTGCTCGTGCAAACATCCCACCCTCCCACCCGCAACTTGGTCGCAAGACCTCTTTAGACAAGACCGTGACGGTAGGTACCTGATGGCACTTGGCCACGACACCGACGCCGACGACGACAGCGACAACGACGACGACGACGCCGCCGACACCGACGACGACGACACCGACGACGTCTCCAAAGACTTCGACGACGACAGCGACCACGACGACGACGACACCGACGCCGACGACGACGACGATGACAACGACGACGACGATGACGACGCCGACGACGACGATAACGACGACACCGACGACGCCGACGACGTCAACGACGCCGACGACGACGACGACGACGGCGGCGACGACGACGACGCCGACGTCGACGACGACGAAGACGACAACGACGCCGACGCCGACGACGACGAAGACGACGACGACGTCGCCAACGAAGACAACGAGGAAGGAGGGAGGACGACGACGGCGACAACGACGACAACGACGAGGGAGGAGGGAGGACGGCGACGACGCGAACGACGAAGAAGGAGGAAGGACGGCGACGCCGACGACGGCAACGACGAGGGAGGAGGGAAGACGACGACGACGACGACAACGACGACGACGACGACGGCGACGAAATAGGAGGGACGACGACGAGACGCCGACGACGACGACGACGACGACGAGGGAGGAGGAGGAAGGACGACCACGGCGACAACGACGACGGAAACGACCACGACGCCAAAGAGGACGACGACGACGAACACGAGGAAAGACAGAGGACGACGTAGGCGACGACGACGACGACGCGGGAGGAGGGAGGACAGCGACGACGACGACGACGACGACGACGACGCAAGAGCGCGCGCGCACGCTTTTGTTGAAAATCCGTGTTGCGAAACCTTCGGTTTTTGTATGTTTTTTGGCCGCACGATTTTGAAATCCTTCCGAAACCGATGGGTTTTGAAGGTTTTCGGCGTACGCGCGCGACGACGCGCGCGTCTGCACTTCGTCCCGTTTTTTGCAGTGGATTCTCGCGACGGCACACGCGCAAGGGCGTTCGACAGATTTCGACCTGAGCGCGCGCGAAGCCCGTTTGGTAGCATTTTGTAAAAGATCTTGAAAAACTTATGGTTTTCTTAAGATTTCGCAAGAGCTCGCGCGGAAGCTTTTTTAGCAACTCAGTGTTGCGAAACCTTGTGTTTTTGTATATTTTTTGTTTTTGTATATTTTTTGGAAATTCAATTTGGAAATCTTGCCGGAACCGAAGGTTTTTGAAGGATTTCCGGCATGCGCTGCGCGACGACGCGCGCGTGTGCATTTCGTCTTATCTTTCGCAAGGGATTCGCGAAAAAGTGCCATGTTAGAGCACAAATGCCACCGCATAGTGTTTTTTACAAGGGAACCTCAGGGGGGGGCAACCTGGCCAGCCTGGGATGGTCTGATTTCATATTTAAGATGGACGAGTGGTCAGAATCATATATGATTTACATACCCGAAAGGGGAACCGATAAGTCCGGGGGGGGGGTAGAGAGTCTATTCTCTTTTTAGAAAGGAGAATTCATGTCTGTTCGCAGTGAGTTGCCCACTCCACTGCTCGCGCGAACGTCCCGCCCACCCGCCCGCAACTTGTTTTGCGATGAGTGCTTGGCGCTGGCTGGTGCATCCCTGCGACCGCGCCAGCCCGCGCGTGCGCGCGCGCGGCGGCCAAGTAGTTTGGCGCGACCGACGCGGCCGCGGTGGTGCTGACCGCTAGGCGCATCCAGGCGGGCACTTGAGTGCGAGTCGGCGACTTGGGCGGGTGCGGTATCCTGGCAACGTCGGCAATTGTAGACGCGATGATGATGATAGTAGTGATGTTGGTGACGATGTTGACAGCGACGACGGCACGGCCAGTGATTGCGCCAATGCCGATCACGCCGACGACGATGACGGCGTCTTCGCGTCGGTGATGAAGGTTTTCAAGAGAATTCGAAATGCGCGCGCGGCAAACGCGCGAGAGTGGTTCGCATGATATTATTTGACACGCATCGTGCCACCCCAGCACGCGCGCCAGGGCGTTCGAACGATTTCGACATGCGCGCGCGAAGCCCGCTTGTTTACAGTTCATGAACATGTTGAACAATTCGTGGTCTTCTTAAAAACTCGCAAGCGCGCTTTTGTTGAAAATCCGTGTTGCGAAAATGTTTGTATGTTTTTTGGACACTCGATTTTAAACTCCTTCCGGAACCGGAGGTTTTTGAAGGAGTGCGGCAAGCGCGCGACGATGCGCGCGCGCGCAGTTCGTCCCAGTTTTTGCAGATAATTCTCGCGACGGTACGCGCGCAAGGGTTTTCGAACGATTTCGACACTGCCGCGGGCGAAGCTCGTATGCTAGTTTTCTCATCAAAATCTGGAAAACTTATGGTTTTCTGGAGAATTCGCAAGAGCGCGCGCGTATGTTTTTTTTTTTTTTTTTTTTTTTTTTTTTTTTTTTTTTTTATTATTATTATTATTTTTTTTTGAAAAATCCGTGGTGCGAGATTTTTCGATGTATATATATATATATATATATATATATATATATATATTATATATATATATATATATAATATGTATATGTGTATATATATATGTATATCCGACACCGAAGGTTTTTGAAGGATTTCGGCATGCGCGCGCGACGACGCGCGCGTGCGCACTTCGCCCCGTTGTTTGCAAAAGAGAAATTGAAAACTTATGATTTGTGATAAACGAGTGCGCGCGCATAGTAGTTTTTTGCAGATGATGGCGGGGCGGGGGGGGCGATACCGGCCTGGCTGGGATAGCATGAATTCAAAGGTAGGGTGGATATTGGGTCAGAATCGTATGTGTTTTGCATTGGTTCCCGGGGGGTCTGTAACCTCGGGGGGTGGTGGTAGAACCTATTTCCTTTTCCGAAAAGAGGATCCACCAGCGGCGACGGGTGGCGGCGAGGCAGCAGCGAGGAGACGACGGGGCGGCGACGGCGGCCACATAGCCGCCAAACCGAGGACACGGCCCAAACGACGGGCGGCGACGAGGCGGCGACGGCGACCATATAGCCGACAGGCCGAAGACACGGCCTAGTTCTTTAGAGAAGAGTTTCGAAACCCTGACTGCGAGCCCTGTCCGGGGTATGGGTATATGTACATGTAATGTATAGCATGTGTGTATGTGTGTGTATATGTATTTGTATATGTATATGTATGTGTATAGGTATAGGTATAGGTATATGTATATGTATATGTATATGTATATGTATATGTAAATGTGTATGTATATGTATATGTATATGTTTATGTTTATGTACATGTATATGTATATGTATATGTATATGTATTGGTATTGGTATATGTATATGTATATGTATATGTATATGCATATGCATATGCATATGCATATGCATATGTATCTGTATATGTATATGTATAGGTATATGTAAATGTCTAGGTCTATGTGTATTCATCTGTATGACCACATGCATGTGTATATGCATATGTATGTGTACACGTATATGCATTTGTATTTGTACTGTTATATGCATATGTATGTGTATATGTAACTGTACATGTGTATGTATAGGTTTATGTTCATGTATGTGTACATGTACACGTATATGTATATGTTTTTTTATATGTATATGTATACATGTATACGTATATGTATACATATTTGTATATACATATGCGTATGCACATATGCATAGATCCGCCGGCCCCCTTGTGGGGCCACCAGGCTGTAGGCCGAAGGTTCGCAGTTTCCTGTGCCACTTGCAGCTTCCAGTTTCCACTGTTACAGTTCTGCTTTTTGCTGCTTACTGTTCCTTGTTGACGGACCGCGCGAGGGGGGGGAGGCCCAACCGGCTGGTTTAGCACACCTTGAGCGTGTGCTCTGAATTGCTGGGGTGGGTAAAAATTGTCAACCTTCACGCAAATCTGCGGGGTCAGGGTTCAAAAACACAAGGGATCTGCACACTTCTGAAGTTCGGTGGCACCCCTCACGCTGATCGGCGGGGTCAGGGTGCAAAAACACAGGATTTGCCACAATTCTGAAATTCGTTAGCACCCCTCATGCAGATCGGCGGGGTCAGGGTCCAAAAACACAGGGTATTTGGGACATTTCCGAACTTCGGTGGCACCCCTCACGCAAATCGGCGGGGTCAGGGTCCAACAACACATGGGATTTGCCACATTTCTGAAATTCGATGGCCCCCCTCACGCAGATCGGCGGGGTCAGGGTCCAACAACACATGGGATTTGCCACATTTCTGAAATTCGATGGCACCCCTCACGCAGATCGGCGGGGTCAGGGTCCGAAAACCCAGGGGATTTGCCACACTTTTTACATTCTGGGGCACCCCTCACGCACTTCGGCGCGGTCAGGACAAAAGAGACTTCCAATATTATCAAATTCGGGGAGAAGATTTGGGCACAGCATACGGGAGCAAATAAAACATAAAAAATACAACAGCGAGTACAAAAATAGACTCGCAATCTCCATTCGTCTTGCCAATTACCCATCGTCTTCGCATGAAGTTCCGACGCTGCTTCACGGTGAAGCCAAAGCCTCATGACTTCGCTCTTCCATGGCCCATTCTCCGAGAGAGGGGGCCGGCGGTGAGGAGGTTGCAGGGGCAGGGGAACGTGGCGACAAAGCCTCTCATAGGTTGCCCAGCCCCCCCCCCCCTCCCCACCCCCTCCCCAGGCTCCAGGGGGGTCAGGTCCAAACGTTGTCACACTTAAAAAGTCTACGTCCCGAAACGCACGCATCCACCACCACCACCACACCGCCACCAACACCAACACCACCACCACGACCACAACCACACACACACAACGAAGACACACGCACACGCACACCACCGCCACCACCACCATCGCCACCACCTCACGAATGAGTCATATACACAGCAATCCCGATATAAAACACAAAGCAGGTCATATACAACAGCCGCCACATACAACACAGGTCATATACGAATCGTGCCACATACAACACAGGTCGTATACGAAACATGATATACGAAACATGCCACATACAACGCAGGCCGTATACAAGACATGTCATGGCTTCCCCACGCTTCACCCAGATACGAGGCTCCCGCTCGAGAGTTCCTCCATATTCATCACGACTCGTCAGGTTATCTCTTCTGGGCTTCTGGGTTTCTCTCCGTACCCATGTTGGCTCAAACTTGACTCAAACCATTCTGGCGCGTTTCACCGTTTCACAACGTCGCTGCACTGTTGGTGATGTATTATGGACCCTTTCGGTCGCGCTGTCAGCATTGGAAGCTCAATCGTTGATGCAAGCGTGCCATATTTTCAATCGAGACATCTCGGGCCGAAGATTGGGCGATCGCATCGAATTCCGTCCGGCGATGTTTTGCAGTTGCTTCAGTCGCTCCAAGAGCAAGTCGGCGGGTGCGATCGCCAGGTTTTGGAACTGAGCAAAAAAGCAGCCAGACAACGAGTCTCAATGGAACTGGACGGTGTAACGATCAGCATAGAGGACGTTGAGGTCGTCGGGAACAACAACGTCCATGTTCGGGCGATCCCACCCCTCATCAGGAAGTTTCTTAACATCGATGTTGCGGCAATTCCCGAGATCGAGTGGGAGAGGACTCTGCGAATCGCAGTGCCGCAGAGTTTCCAACTTGTTCATCGCGCTCGTGGCATGGACAGGGGCTCAGCTGCGCAGCAGCAGCAGGGGATGGCGCGCAGATTGTCCCAGCGACGGTGGCCGACTACAGCAGCTTCAGCAGGGGCGATCTTCTACAACTGGTCATCGCCAAGGGTGCACGAGTGTCCGGGCTAAACCACGAGAGGGATCAATTTCGGAAGTCCAAATGGAAAGCGATGAAACAGAAAAGGCAATTGCAGATTGAGAATTCCCGGCTGAAAACAACCATACAGGATATCGAGTCTTTGGTGAGCGTGCGCACTGGGGAGCATGGGAATGCGGATAAGTACAAGGCATACTGCGTGGCTATCAACAGGAACGAGGGCTACGCTGGGGCAGCGGTAGCCGTCAAAATGATGGCTGGTGGCGAGGGCGTTTTGGGTGGGGGGCTGAAGGACAAGGGCATCATCATAACTTACGAGCACATGGCTGCTGCCAGCAAGAGGCTACGATCAAACATGTTCTTCGATGCGGTTTCAGAGAGTGCGCAGCAATATGGCTGCGATGATTCTGGAGCTGCGACGCGTCTGCGCACCATGGCCGCTGAGGCCTTGCTTTATCAGGGGGATGCTAGGGCGTCAGCCGTGCTGGATAATAAAAAAGCATGTTGCAAAAATCTCGTGTTCGGCAATGTTGATAAACACTACGTGTTGCGACCGCTCTTGCTTCGATTTTGACATCCTCCAGAGCGCGTGCGTCTCCCAGCGTGTACTTTGCGACCTGCAGGATGTGCGCGAAGGCACAGGCCAGGAGACATACTCTTTGATGCTCCGCGAGTTCGACTCGGTGGGCGCGCCTACTGGGGCCCAGCGACTTCGCGAGGCCAACGGGGCGAGCATTACTTTCCTGGGCGCTGCAGTCGACAAAGGTTGGGCGCCATGCGCAACGTGCATCAGGGCACCGAACCCAGAGCGATGCCTCATCGCGATGGGGGTCGGAGTCCGATGCGTTCTGGTGCCGGGTGGCCAGCATAGGTGGCGACGACGTTTCTGCGTGGAAGCGCGTTGCAAAATTGATATCGGACTCTCGTCATATCATGCTAACCGTTCTCTGGTGTCACTACCATCAGTGCCATTTGGTGGACAAGGCTGTCTTGGTTGCTCTCGAGTCTTGGCATTCATGGGTAGATTCTATGCAAGTGGAATATTTCAACGGGGTCTCCAGCCTGTCAGGTGGCGAACGCCTGGCACGCCCGCCTGCGTCAAGCAGATGACCAAAAGGCATTTCCCAGACAACTTGGCAGCGCTGAAGGCCGTCGGCAGGGTGCCAGGGCGATGATTGAAGGACCGATGGGGGTCAATCGACGGCGTCGAACAGATTTTGTTATCATCGATGTGGGTCCTGCGAGTTGTTTTACCTTGGGCCTAAGATGAGGGGCCCTGCCCGCGGACGGGGCCGACGCGGCCGAGGCCGAGCTCGACGAGGGGCTGGAGAATCGAAGGGGGGGGGGGGGGGGGGGGGGGGGGGCAGGGGGCCCACTGCCCCCCCGACCAGGCGAGGGCGAGGAGCAGGAGTTCCGGCAGCAGCAGAGGAATGCGAGGCGAAATGCGCTGGGATGTCTGGGCGACCATCGTTTCGAACTTAAGGCAAGGGTGTCTTTTAACGTCAAGAGGCCTATCCAGCATTTCATGAATTGGGCTGACGGTAAGCAACTGGTTTTCAATCAGCGCGTCAAGGCATCCACGGTACGAGGTGAAACATACCTCGGCCCGACGCCCTGCTCGATGATGGTGGCCAGTTTCGCGGGGACTATTCGCGATGAGATCACGTTCTTGTTGGGGAGGGAAGCTGTGCGAAACTGCGGCTGCTGGGCGCCCTTATGGGCTCAATGCAAGACTGGTTTGGAGAGTGGGCAGGCGGGGCAACTTGTCGTCGAGTGCGTTCTGATGGCGGGGCTTCTTATGAGTTCAGACTATGGGGCGGTGCTTCAACGTTTCCATTGCTGCTTCTACTTCTGTTGGGGCATCTTCCAGGTGTTGTCGATGATCGGAGGCAGGGCGTGCGCGAGAAGCTTGTAAGTTCTCGGCGAGCAAAGGGTAACAACCAACGTGTTGAAGGGTTGGAGGTGTAGGGGTAGGGGGCAGCTCGTTCGGGGCGTGGGGGATGGGGCCATCGCTGGACACTGGATGCAACCTTTTGCTAGCCGGTGGAGGTTCGCACCAATGCTGTCTGCAGCGGCCGAATCCTTACCTGCGGAGTGGCATAGGCGATGTCGCCTGCATGCTCAGGCAAACGCATGCAGATGAGCTGCTAGCGGTTAAGACATCTGGACAGGTGCCTTTGAACTTGTTTTCGTTGTTGTTGGTGTGGAGGTCCCAAGTCGTCTTCGAGAGCACGTGCATGGAGGGTCTCCACGTCGTTCTGCAAACAATGGCGAGGATTGCACCTAGCATGGGCCATGCACTGGCCAGCGATCGCTTGCAGTTAAAGCTTGGCGGCCCCATCAGCGCCACTGCGTGTTGCGGGTTGCGCCATGCCGCCAAGCATCGCATGGCGTCGCGGTCGCAGCTCGTTCGGTCTGCCCATCGCGACTTCGACCAACCAGATGAGATCACCTTCAAGCCGTGTGTGCACGACCCTGCACACAGCGATAGAGTTCGTGGGTTTGCAGCCCCTGCTCAGCGGCAGATGCCCAGAACAGCAGCCAAAGCGTACACATTTGGCTTCACATTGGCAGCAAGTGAATGTGTGGGCCAGCACGTGTACCTTGTCGCTTGGGTTTATTTTTCCAGGGGGTCGCTGGCTGAATTTCGCATCTCCGCAGCGGCAGGGACAACGGCAAACGTCGTGCCTTCCCCGCCTCTGACATTCACGGACGTCTTATCTTTGGTATTTGGTATGGTGGATGGCGGCCCCGCTACCGATGATGGCGATGGTGCTTGTGGGGCTGGCCTGGTTCCGATCGAGCTGGATGCCCGCCCTAAGCGCCGTCGCCGTGCAATGTCTGAGTTCATGCATGTATTCTCGTGCACCGTGTCGCGGGCTGATTGCATGGGCGACGACATTGGGGTGCCTGCTCACCGAGCACAAAATAACATGGGAGAAACCGAAAGCATATACACAACCTCGCGATGGAGGCCCAGGCAGAGGCGATGACGATAGCGACAAGTCCGCTGACGATTCCTGGGTGGATAAGGAGATGGAGGACCTTCTGGATGCGGACGGTTTCGGGTCGCTGTCGGAGCTGATGGGCATCCAGACGGTGATCATCATCTAGATGGGGAGTCGGAGGCAGAGAGCCTAGCAAGGGACCCTGCTGCCGAGGTCAACGAGGAGGGGGTGGTGGCGGAGTCCTTGCCCGAGTGGCCCGAGTCGTCCGACGGTGGCAGCGATGACCCCTCGGACGCTGCGCCGGGGGCTGGTGGGGGCCAGGGGGTCGAGGTCACCCGCCTTGACGCGGACGTGCAGACTTTCGTGGCTGGTAAGAGTGCGGGCAACAAGGCGTGCATTCTAAAAGCTTTTGAGCATTTGGCAGATGCGAGCGATGCAGCATTGCTTTTGCAAGATCGTATGATCTCGTTAGTCCAGAGCGGCGATAGTGTAGATTTCGTGATGTGGTCGAGCGCTGCTGCTCGCATGGCTCGCTCTTTATATGTAGTGAATAAGAAGGTCAAAGCTATAGTGTTCGGTATGGTTCCTCCTGCTGACTCTGCCACTGCGACAGTCTTAGCTGCCCAGGCTGGGGCGATGTACTTGCATCGGAAATCCGAGCGCGAGAGGGATGAGGTTCCTGAGTTTGCATTAGTCCTGGAGGAGTGGTGCCAGTCTCGTGCGTTTTCCGGCCCCCTCCCTGGGCCTGAGGCAAGCACGTGCGTTTGGTGCGAAGCTTCAAGGAGCGCGCCTGGGGGACCTGGGGCCGTGCCCGAGCTTGCAGAGCCGAGTGTAGCGTGCAGGTGTGCTTCGTGCTGCCTTGTTTGGCATAGCGCATGTGCAGGGCGATGCGTCGAGCTTTTTGCAAAGGACGTAGGTGGCTTCTTTTCGGACGAATGGGTCTGCTTCTTGTGCAGGGTCAGCGGCCCAGTAGTGGGCCCAACTCATTAGCTTGAAACCTGGGCGGTATGCAACTTAGGGCGCGTAGCAATAACTCGGCAAATAACCGAACGTGCCAACGTCACATCACACCCCAACAACACGCAACACCTGAAAACAACAAAACATAGAACACGCATCGGCAGCAGAAGCTCACAACCGTGCCCGCTCAGAAAAAATATAACAAAGAAAAAAGAAAAGAGAAAATAAAAGAAACCAAGAACAACAAAAGAAAAGAAACAACAATAAAATGAAAAGGAAACAAACACAAACAAAACGCACGCACACACACGCGCACGCACACACACACACACGCACACACACAAAACACGCACACACGCACACACACACACACACTCTCACACACACACACACTCACGCACACACACCACACACACACTCACACACTCACACACTCACGCACACACGCACACACACACGCACACACACGCACACACACACACGCACGCACGCACGCACACACACACACGCACACGCACGCACGCACACAAACACACACACACACGCA